AGTTGCTTCAATAGGGAAGAGACTAAAAGGATACTTGACGGGAGTCGAGCTAAAGAGTGACAATGTTGAGGGGGATGAGTGAAGGACTATATATGCATTGATTTACACTTGACTAATCAATTCGATGGTTCAATTGATTGCGACATCATTGGATGGTAGTTAGAAGATGAGTGACATATATGCAAAACTGAGGAAGATCTATGCTAGAGTTGAGAACCACAAGAGGGTGTTTCAAATTCAGTATGAGAAAGATACAGTGGTTTATGGTGATAAATCGATTTAAGATTATTTTATAGACATGGAGTGGCCATGGAAAGATCTTGATCACTTCTCATCTATGTCGAGCTCTAGTGATCCAAGATGCAAGAAGGGAGAGATGATTACACAGATGAGGACTATGGAGTTTCCAATTCATCTAAACCCAGTCTTTGCTCAAAAGAGACCGATTTTCCTAGGTCAAGTGACTATTTCCACACTAGATGAGGCCATTGTTACGATTATATAGGAGAGTCGCATAAAGCTACACTCTGATTCGAATGATTTTTCCGGGTGCACGGTCAGCATTGGCTAGGTACGCTAGGTGTCTGCTGGTAGACTCACACGTACTACAATTGTGGTGAAGTTGACCATCTGAGCAACTATCCAAAGCCACCTAAATAGATAGAGGCAAGTGGATGTGGACAAGGCGAAGGTCGTCAATGTGGTCGTGGTCGTGGGGGTCGGAAATGTTAAATGGGGCTATCGAGCAAGTTGGATGGTAGCACAGGACGAGAGAGAGATAAGTGTGTTCTTTACTAGTGAGGATCATGACTAACTGGAGCTGTTGAAGAGGAAGAAGAAAGCGATAGAAGATGGAGCCGAGGATGTTTCAAATTCATCAATTTCAAGGGGTAACATTGTTACTTATGCTCGTTTCAGCAAATGTACTGGTGACACACTTGCTTTTACCTCTATTTTTACCACAAAATCTTTAGAATAGAATTTATTATAGATTATGTTGCTTCTCCTCACGTGATGGGTACTGCTGGAGAGTTCTATTCATATGCTCATTTAAAAGTATTGGAGAGTATATAGACTGATGACGGTATAATGCAACCTGTAGTTGGTAAGGGTACAATTAAATGTACCAATCATATGACTTTGTTCAATATTTTGCATGCTCATTTTCTCCAGTTAAACTGCATTGCTTCTTTTGATATTTCTCAGGCGATCTTTCAAGAGAAATGAACGAGCCGGATATTGGGGACTGGAACGTGGCATAACGGGCTCTAGTAGTTGGATTGAGTGGGGATGGACTCAACACTAGCTTCCATGGTGAAAAGTGTTGCAGTAGGAGAATCTGGGACATCACAACCATATGAGACATTTTTGTTTTAGTTTATTTAGTTGGTTGCGTCTATCTATGTATCAAAAGGTAAATAAAGAGAAACTAGTGTGTGATGTTTGTGAGTTTAGCAAACTCACTAGGAGCTCTTATATCATATTTGGGAATAAGAGCTCTAATGTGTTTGATTTGATACATTATAATGTATGGGGGTCTTGTCCTTCTAGTTCTTTGAATGATTATCGATATTTTGTTATGTTTATTGATTGTTTTTCTCGTGTTACCTTGATATATTTGATAAAATAGAAGAGTGAGGTGGTTGCTTGCTTTAAAGTTTTTCACAATGCATTCTATACCCAATATGGTGCAGTTGTGAAGGAAGTGCGATCTGATAATGAGATATTATATATCAACAAAGCATTTGAGTACTACATGCCAGCTTAAGGGATACAACACCAAATCATATGCTCAACATACCAACATAGAATAGAGTAGCAAAAAGGAATGATCAACATCTTCTATAAGTAACACAACATGTTGATGACAATAAATGTCTACAACACTTATGAACCAAACAGAGTTGACAACCATTCAATTGAATAACAAGATGCCCTCAAGAGTGTTGAAGTGGAAGTCTCCTTGTCAAATGTTGAAAAGAGACAATAATGAGATCCTTCTATTCAAGGTATGTTGATGTGTACGTTTTGTGAAAAGACAACAGACCATATGTCGGGAAGTTGTTTCCCAAAGTTATGAAATGTGTGTTCGTGAATTATTTTGCTACTCAGAAAGGTTATATGTCTGTTTTAGTCCGATTGAGAAGAGACTCTTTGTGAGTATGAATGTGTCATTAAGAGAGTTTGAACTATACTACACTTTGAAAGTGAATTCACCATTCGGTGACTCAACAGAAACTAGAAATATGAGGTAAGAGAGTGACTAGTAGTGATGGAGTGTTGCAAGTGGGAACAATGCCATGTCCTATGATATGAGATGAATCAACCGAGGAGACGAAAATTGAGGAGATTAACCCTAGAGGTGGTGGGATTCTAGCCGAAGGTGAGTTATACAGAGGAAGAGGAAAATTGAGGGAACAAAGTTTGCAGTACCAACAAATCCCTTGTTCTGGTCTTCCCCAATTATTGAGACACTTACACCATTCATCTTCCCCAAATCTTGAGACACTTAACCCATTCACCTTTGATTCAAAACTCTCGGGTGATAAAATTTCTTCTCCGCCACTCCTACCCTCTTACGTTAAAGAATACCTAGCACAGTAATGTGAGACATCCTTCTGAATTTTTTTGGTAAAAGCTTGATATTGTAAACTTTATTTCTTATTCTAACATCTCACCTTTTATGAAACATTCAATGCATTATTGGACTTTGTCTCTATACCCAAGTTTTTGAAGGTTGCTAAAGAGGATACCAAGCGGAAAAAGGCGATGCATGAAGAGCTTGGAGTTCTTGATAAAAATCAAACATAAGTGATTGTACCACCACCAGCAGGGAAGAAGACTGTTGGAGGCAAGTGGAACTTCATGGTGAAGCAAACTCCAGAAAGGATGATGGAGAGGTACAAAACAGGACTAGTGGCAAAAGTGGACAGTCAGACATATGACATTAACTACGATAAAACCTTTGCACCAGTCACAAAGATGAGCAAGGTGAGAACAAAGGCTTCTCTGACATTGAATGGTGGATGAAGACTCCATCAACTGGATGTGAAGAATTTTTTTTTCATGGGGAGCTAGTGGAGGTATATATGGAGATATCACCAGGATTCAGTATATCCTAGACAGTGAGCAAGGTGTGTAGGCTCTGGAAGTCACTGTATGACTTGAAACAATTACCTCGAGTCTGTTTTGACAAGTTCAAAATAACGATCTTTGGCATGGGATATTAGCAGATTAATGCAGACCACAGTATTTTTTCGGCAACATGAAGGTCACACTACCATACTTGCTGTGATGTGTATGACATAATTTTTACTAGTGATGATGAGACAAAGATTGTTTAACTGAATGGAAGTTTGGGAAAACAATTTGTGGTAAAGGATCTGAAATAGCTCGGATACTTTCTTGGGATTGAAGTAGCCCATAGACCTGATGGGATGTTCTTATCCCAGAGATAATATGTATTAAACCTTCTCACAGAGACAGTTATGTGGGGTGCAAACCTACAGTCTTTTCAATTGATCAGAAGGTCAAGCTCAGAACAATTATAGACGAATCGGTTGATCGTGAGAGGTATCAGAGGTTGGTGGGTCGCCTGATCTATCTGTGTCACACTCAACCCGATATTTCTTTTGCAGTAAGTGTGATGAGCCACTACATGCATGATCCAAAGAAGAGTCATATGGATGCAGTGAATTAGATTCTAAGGTATCTGAAGAGTGAACTAGAGAAAATGTTGATATACAGGAAGAATGAACATGTTGATATTGAGAGCTTTTGTGATTCTGACTGAGCTATTGTGATTCTGACTGAGCTAGTTGTGCTGATGACAGACGATTCACTTCAGGATACTGCAATGTTTGTAGGTGGCAACTTGGTTTCGTGGAAGAGCAATGAACAATCAGTTGTAGCAAGATCAACAACTGAGGCAAAATACATGGCCAAACATTAGAAGTTGCTGAGATGTTGTGGCTGAAAGTCTTCTTGGCGGAACTGCAGTGGATCAGAGAACTAGAGGAAGTGTTGATATACAGGAAGAATGAACATGTTGATATTGAGGGCTTTTGTGATTCTGACTGAGCTATTGTGATTCTGACTGAGCTAGTTGTGCTGATGACAGACGATTCACTTCAGGATACTGCAATGTTTGTAGGTGGCAACTTGGTTTTGTGGAAGAGCAAGAAACAATCAGTTGTAGCAGATCAACAACTGAGGCAAAATACATGGCCAAACATTAGAAGTTGCTGAGATGTTGTGGCTGAAAGTCTTCTTGGCGGAACTGCAGTGGATCAGAGAACTCAAACGAAGTTGTGGTGTGACAACAAGTCGGCAATCAACATTGCTAATAACTCGGCGCAGCATGATAGAGCTAACATGTGGAGACTGATAGGTTCTTCATTAAGGAAAAGCTGAATAACAAACTATTGGAGCTGTCATGTAGTCACTAGAGAGCAAGTGGTAGACTACCTCCCCAAAGGACTTAGATCATTAAATTTGTCTAGGTTATGTGACAAGATGGGCTTAGTGAATATCTTGGTTATGTGACAAGATGGGTTATGTGACAAGATGGGCTTAGTGAATATCTTTTGTCCATTTTGAGGGGAAGTGTTGAGATTTGTATATAATATCGGGACTTACTTGTTAATAGACAAGTGGTAGACTGCCTCCCCAAAGGACTTAGATCATTAAATTTGTCTAGGTTATGTGACAAGATGGACTTAGTGAATATCTTTTGTCCATCTTGAGGGGAAGTGTTGAGATTTATATCTAATATCGGGACTTACTTGTTAATAGATGAAGTCTAGGGATTTATTTGTAAATGTTATAACTTTTAAGGCTCTATATAAGTCCGTCATCAATAAAATGGAGGAGTTTTTTTTAGCAATAATGTCTATTATTTCCATGATTATGTCATTTTGATATTGATTGATCACTATCCACAATTTTTATGGTTGACTACTGATTACTTATGTTTTGCTCGTTGCTTATTTTGTTAAAAGGGAAAAGTGATAATAACAGCGCTCCCTGGTGAGAAGTTGGAAATCCCTGATGATGCGGTGATAGAGAATAAGGTATATTACTTATAATTTCGAATGTCCGCCTCGATTAAAAAAATTGTTACAAAATTTTAAATGCTTTAATTTGTTGGTTTTATGTTTCTCTTAGGAGATCAAGAGCCCTGAGGATATCTAAGCTTCACTTTTCTCTTGCACATAGAGTTTTCCAGCTGCTGTCATCTGCTCATTAATAATAATAACTATTAACTATGCACAAAACTTGAGAAGCTACAAAATTTTTTTATGCTCACCCGCGTCTTAAAAGTTATGTCCAGCGTGGTTTGTTTTTCATAAAGAACTTCACAAAGTTTATATATTTTTATGTTTGCATTTTTTATTCAAGTTGTGCAATTTTGTGACGATGCGCGCGTGGATTGCACAATTAGAACATAAACACACAGTTGGGCGTTGTTTGGTTCGTAGGAATCAAGAGAGAAGTATTCAATGCTTGCGTAGTTGCATCTTGATTATTTAGTTGGGTTTAATTTAGAAGAATTTGGTTTTTTTTTTCTTTTACAAATATGATCTGTGTATATATTATGTAATGAAAAGCTGAAGTATAATTGATAATAAATAAATTAGTTATTTTCTCAAACCAAGCAAAAAAGTTCCACTTAATATATAATCAAATTAAAAAAAAGAAATATGCATTTTTATTTTCATTTGCTTTCCAGTTTTCATCTTTCAATGTTTTGAATGTCACCTCTTGTGTAGAAAAATATTGTATCTGGAAGTGAAAAAGATGACCTTCGGTGGATTGCAGCCGTTGTCCGGATCCAGACATAATATTTTCTTTTGTATGTGAGGCCTGTGTGCTCTCCTTTGGTCATTGAATTCCTATGTAAGCAAGTGAATATTTAATCAAATGTGCTTTATAAAGCTTATAAATAAATTATTTGACCTTAGAAAAATAAATGAGATTTATAACGAATAGCTTTATAAAGGTTATAAATAAATTATTAGTTGACCTTAGAAAAATAAATGAGATTTATAACGAATGAGCTATTAAATGAATAATTAAAATAAAAATATTAATGTGTAAAAGTGGACAATTAAGTAAAAATAATTTTATCTTATTTTATATGTTACAAATTAAAATATAATAAATTAATTTAATATAAAAAAAATGAATAAAGTTTTAATTGAATTTATTTACAGGTTTAAATTAAGTTTTTAATCGACTTCGTTCATAAGAATTAAATTGGTCTTATTTATGAATTTTAAATGAAATTGTTTATCAAATTTTTTAATGAATTTGTTTGTGAGTTTTAAATGATATTGTTGGCGAAAAATAAACGAATCAAGGTGTTCAATTTTAGTCACTTAGCAATCAAGTATTTGTGTAAGTGTTCAAATTTTTTAAATTAGTTAATCAAATGAACACAAACAATTTTTTATCAAATCAAGTTATGAGCAGCTTGTCAAAAACTTCTTGATTTGCTGCCCTGGATGTGGGTGTTTCAATGGCATTTAGGAGAATGAAAAATAGGAAGGCTAGCCATTGAGTGTGTTTAAAGCAGCTGAAAGTGCTGACATTTTTTTGTTCGGCAATGAATTATGGTACTTGATGTGTTTCTTTTTGAAGTTGGGAGTTCTTTGTGTCATTGTTTCGCTTAAAAAGGTAGGAGGCTATCAGTCAGTGCCCACCTGGATGTTTATGCAATCAGGGTTTAAATTTTAGGAAAAGTCTTAAAACATATTTAATGATATTTTAATTATAATTTTACACCAAAATATGTGGATAAAAGTTGATTTTAGATTTATTTTTAAACTATTAGGACCTTTAAATAGAAACGGAAGACGATGCCCCGGAGTTGCTTTTAATAGGAATTTAATTTTATACAACTATTTTTATTTACTTTTTTTTTGAGCTTTTATTACAAATTTTATTGAAAAATTAAAGCAAAAACAGTTCTCTGAATAAAAAGAATTCGTCATCCTCAATTACAAAATTCCTTGACATTCTCGTGTTGATAAGGTCAAATGCTGCGGGGTTATCCAAATCGAGTTCAGTTGTATATATTTTATATAATTTAATTTTGATGCCAGTCTTCCGGCAACCTCTTCGTCTTCTATTTTTTTAACACTACACATGCATGCTTTAATAGCTTTCAAATATATGATTTCAAATTTCAGAGATTCATGTTGAATATTTAGGCCATTGTTGAATCTAGAATTGTTCAGGAAATAGAGCATACGGAGAGAGAGAGAGAGAGAGAGCGAGAGAGAGCGAGAGAGGGCAATAATTTAGAATGAGTATATTGGCTTTTCTTGACTTTTTAGCTAAGACTATGCAACCCTTATTCTCAATATGACTTCCTATTCATAGACAAAAAAGGCACGACTCACACAATTGCATTGAGACCCCAACTTTAGTAGGGAGTGCACAGGGTATTACGTGTATTTGGCTTTGATGAGGCCTAAGGATCTCTTGAAGTCTTTGACTTGATGATCTGAATTGCATGATGCGGTGTTTGATCTTGTCTGTAGTCTAATTTATTAGGATTATCCAACCGACTAATGACCCAGGTGCAGTTATTAGGATTATCCAACCGACTAATGACCCAGGTGCAGTTGGTCATTCTCTCTTGTGAAGTAGGTCGGGTGCTACGTATTTGCCTTCTAGAGAGATTGTCGATTTAGTTCTTAATGGATTCTTCGACTCCCTGAGTTGACCACCTGGGTTGATGACTGCTGTGAAAGCCTTGCGTGAGTTATTTTTCCAGGAGGTCTCACATTGTCATGTCAAGTTTTTCGAGTCTAGCAGATTCCTCTGAGATTCATGCTGACATGTTTTACATATATATATTTAGTTTCTCGATTCTCTTATTTCTTAACAGTGACAACCCATATAGGAACAATAGAATCTTATTTATTTAAAACAACCAACAACATTTATAAATACTTAACGATACAATAACTGATTTCTTCATTTATATATCTTGCATCTGTTCTCGTGTAAACATAGCATGGGGGTACTGATTTCTTCATCTTCCCCTATATCTTATCGACAAGACTTGTTTGTTTCCTTTTGACGCCATGATGGGTGAGTCTAATTCTAAGTCCTTCATCTTCCAAGAATATCCAGAGGATAACTCTAAACATGCTTATGGCCTCCTAGATCACTTTAAGTTCATTTCGATCTTGCTAGACTGTTAATTAAATCATCCAAGCAAAATTAATATCTTTAAGTTGCACTCAGTACATATCTTAATTAACCCATGAGTAGGTCGGGGGTTTCCTATCTTATTATGTTTCAGGGTTTTGAATGGGTGGTCACCCTAAGGGTGAGCTCCATCATTTAAGTGTGTTGGTATTGTTTAAGATGAGTTATGTTCTTTCTTTTCTAATCCCTTTATATAACTTTAGATCAATCCTAGCTCACTACCAAGCTCTTAGATCTCTCATGGGTATATTGGTAATTTTAAAAAGTCAAGTGAAATGGATTTAATTCCTATGAAACAATTCAATTAGCCCTAGCCATTGATCTGGGGCTTCAAATTAAGTAATTATTGTCTTGCTATCTCATGCCCCATCACATTAGAATCATCCAATGTACTTATCTTCCAAATCATAAAAATTCAATTAATTGTAATTTTACCTCTTATATAAAATAGTGTAGATTGGCTTCTACCTATTGTCCCTTTATGTTTCAATCATCATAGGGAATTAATTATGATCAATATTATCCTTTTACCCCTTTGTTTGACCTAAAATTTATTTAAGGCTCAAAATTCCATAATTACCATTTTATCCCTAGGGCTCTTTACCTCATAGCTCTTTCAATATGACTCAAATAGCTTTGAAACTTTACTGGATTGCTACTCATGGGTTAATTAAGAAGACATCAGAGAAGACTTTGTATTTTTCTAATTTCTATGTTATTTTTTGGAATTATTTTAGCTTAAAAATATGGATTTTCAAAGTTAATTCATTTACTTAATTAAAACACATCCTCTGTCCTTCAAAAAATTTTAGGAGGTTCACATTTGTCAGAGGACTACTCATAGAGGACCACTCAATCCAATTTTCATGATTTTTTAATTGTATTTTAATTACTATAATTTTTTGTTGGTTTTAATGAATAAAAAAAATAAATAATGTACTTTTTTTAAATTTGCTTTTTATATTTTTCTTTAATCTTTCTAACTTCAGAGAACCCAAAGAAATTAATTTCATATATATATTTTTATTTTTATTCTATTTTTTGTATTTTTTAAGTCAAATATATAGGAAAATACATTAAATTATTTAAAGTATGTTTTTACAATCACAAAAAAGTTATGAAAAATTTCTAAAATTGTTTTCTTCAATTAGGAAGTGATTTATGACATTTTGTCACATTTGGGCATTTTTATATTTTTTGGTATTTTTAATGAATAAATATTTAAGAAAATAAGCTAAAAATAAACTTTTTATTTTGACTTTGATTTTATTTTTCTTGGATAGCCCTGATCTTAAGGAACTCTTTTAACTAATTTTTATAATTGTTTTAGTTATATTTTAATTTCTACAAGTAGTTTAAGCAAAAATACTTATTTACTTAGAAAATTTATTTATGCATTAAAAATAATTTTTAAGGTTTTACAATTTTTACAGAGACTTCCTAGGGTCATTTTCTTCCATTTTGGGTATTTTTGGGGATTTTTTTGATTTTTTGAGCTCTTTTGTATTTTTCTTATTTTTGGTATTTTTCTTAATTTAAAAATAGAAAATTATATTTTAAACTTTTGAAATTTGATTATTTTTGAAATTTGATTTTCATTTTTCTTAAGTTACTTTAACAACAGTGAACCTATGTAACCAATTTTTTTAATTGTTTTATTTATATTTTAATTTTTATAATTATTTTAGGCAAAATCAGGGTGGTTTACTTTGAAAATTAGGGTTTCTAATGTTAAAGGTGTCCTCTGACTAGGTTAGGGTGCTCGTGATGACGGGGCTTTGTTGGGAAATGATGTTTGTGAGTATGGGGAAGCTTTTGGGAAGCTCAATTTGGAGTTTGGAGGTGGTTTGTTCCAAGGCCAAAAATTGCCCTAGATTTCAATGCCTAAATTGAACTTGGGTAGTGGAGATCGATGACTGAGGACACTGGGCTTGGGCTTAGGGTCACTGTGGGAAGATTTATAAATGAATTGGGGAGAGTTTGCTCAACAAATTTTCATCCCCTTTTTAGGATGAAAGAGGAGCTGATTTTATAGAGGGAGGCATAACTACCATTAGGGTAAGCCATGGTGGCCAAAGGGCCGCTTAGGTGGAGGGAAGAAGGGTTCTGATGGCCAATGGCAATGAGCCAACTCAAGTAGGTTTAATTTGGGGTTTTCCCCAATTGGGG